TTTCTTTATTTATTCAAATAAATAATTGCATTTGATATTCATATTTTGCGTTGAAATTAGGATACACTAAAGTTCAGATCAAAGAGATTATGTAAAAATATGTGAAGTACGTATATTATTTCTTTTTATGACAAGATAATAATAAAAGATTTAACAATGAATGTTGTGAACTTATAATGTAAAATAAAATATTCTCTTAATACTTCCACAATTTCTCTTCTACTATTTACTTCATTAAAATACTTCGTCGATTCAAATGTTGATGATTGAAATTCTCTATAAAGTTAGATATGATCGTACTCAAAGCTAATATCATATATATATTAGAAATAAAAATATAATTTAGTAAAAAAACACTTGTATGATTATAAATGTAAAAATATTTATTTGTTTGTTAATGAAGTAGTTGATTATTACTTATTGTACGTTGTTTTGAGCATTTAACATTTTATAATAAATTCCACCTTTTTGTAGTAGTTCAGTATGAGTACCACTTTCAACTATACGACCCATTTCAAGTACATGTATTAAATCACATGAACGTATTGTTGAAAGACGATGTGCAATAATAATTGATGTTCGACTAGGATCTTCTGTTTGAGCTTGTTCAAGAGTTTCTTGTACTATCTTTAATTATTAAAAATATTAAATTATACCTATAAAAGAAAATAAACTTACTCGTTCATTATATGAATCCATAGCACTTGTAGCTTCATCTAATAATAATATTTTAGGTTGACGAATAAGAACTCGAGCAATAGCAATACGTTGTTTTTCACCACCTGATAAAAAACTACCTTTTACTCCAACTTTTGTATCATAACCCTAACATAATACAATATTATATATTACTAAATAAAATCAATATAATTTAATATTAATCTAACTTGAGGTAATTGTTGAATAAATTCATGAATATTAGCTTTGGTTGCAGCAAGAACAATCTCATCCATTGGTATATTTTCTAATCCATATGTTATATTTTCAGCAATTGTTAAATTAAATAAAACTGGTTCTTGATTAACAATACCCAAACGAGAACGTAGCCATTGAAGATTTAATTTTTGAATATCAATACCATCAAGAGTCTTATTTATATTAATATATTTTTATATGAATACTTGAATTATAAATATCGAAGAGACATACTTACCAATTGTCCATGTGTAACATCATAAAATCGTTCTAATAATTGAACTATTGTTGATTTTCCACATCCAGATGCACCTAAATCGATTATTATATTATATGATTAATAAACAAGAAAACATAATTTATTTAAACGTTACCAACAAGAGCTATACGTTGACCTGATTTAATAGATAATTGAAGTTTATTAAGAACAAGAACTGTTGGACGAGTTGGATAAATAAATTTAATTTGATTAAATTCTGTTTCTCCACTAAAGTTTGTCTAAACAATTCAAAATTAAAATATACAATTGAAAGTCAATAGTTTTTCTTCTTTTTCGTTTACTAGTTTTTGTCCTTTATTCGATCCATTATCAATAGTTGGTATTCGATCAAATAGATCAAAAAAAGCATGAGCAGCAGCAAATGATGCGCCGATACGCTGTGCTCTAAAACGAAAATAACAAAAACAAAACATAAACTGAATATCTTACATCATTCCAACAACTTTTAGTGATTCTAATGCGAATATTCCAAAAGCAGAAATCCTATAAAAATAAAAAAAATAATGCAACTTAATTTATAGATTATTAAAATTAATGTTTTATTTACATAACAACACTGCTCATGTCTAGTTCATTTTTTTCGACAAGAATCAAAGCACGCCAATACAAAAGTCCCAAAGTCAATGGACTCAATGTCCACAACACTCCAATCATTGTTGCAAACACTGCGTCAGATCTCCAAGATATTCTAAACAAAACATAATTCATTGAGGATTGAAATGAATATCTGTAGAAAAAGAGTTATATTCGATATTATTAGTTCATTATCGATATCGAAGAGCATGTTAATTTTGACAAAATTAATCAAGTTTCTTAGAAGCACTCAGAGTTTTGTTTAATGCTTTATACATATTTATGTTTTAACTTAGACCTGCAATAACTAGAAAATAAACTGACTACAATCAAAGCAACTATATCATAAAATTTCACTCAAGTTTCGACTTTACTATTGTTTTTTTCAGTTAGCTTTTACGATTTTTCATTGCAATGGAAAAAAAGCTCTTTTTCAAAATATAATTATAAATTCTCATAGAACTTATAAAGTTCTCAATCACTTTTTGTCTTTTGATTTTTTCTTCAATTTTTGTTTCATGCACTATACAAACATAATACAAGACAAAAGTAGACAAGATGATAGATAATTTCTAGCTCCACTAAAACAAACCCTTACTAATTTTTTTATAAAGAACTTTTTGCATAGCAATGAAGAAACTTGAAAATTAATCAAGAAAACGTTGACAAAATGCACTTTGTAGAGAACCTATCTATAAGGAATGCTTCATTATAGCTAGTTAATTTTCTAATTAATGATTGAAATTTACAACCTAAATACACAGAACGATGGAAAAACTCGAATCACTTTGAACAGCTTAGATTTATTTCTAATATGATGTTAATTTACTTAAATAATCATGTATAGCTTATTTTTTCAAATATATATGCATGCATAATATTCATAAGACTAACTTTAGTATTTGATCAATCATATTTGAATATTGTTCTAAAACTTCTTTTTCCATTGATAATTGTTTTACTGTGCGCATATTGGTAATCACTTCAACAGCAAGCTAAAGAAGACAAAACATACAATGAATATTTAATAATCATTTGATCAAATGATGTATAACAACGTAATTCTACTACACATTAAAAGATTAGGGATAACAAGATACTTTTACCGTGCTAGCTTGAGAGTAAATGAGATCAGATTGTGTTTTGAACCATGAACCCAATCGTATATTAATAGTAGTGGAAATCAGCTGGACAACGAAAGGAATCGCTATGATTATTGTTAATTGCCAGTTGTAAATAAACCCAAGCACGCAGCCAAAAACAGACATAGATAAACCTTGACAAATAACACCTAATCTTGTACCAGTCATGTCTTCAATGGCAGCTGCATTAGAAGAGAGTTGATTACATATAGCACCAGAACTGTTTTCAGGTCGATCAAAATAAGCTACTTCTTGGCGAAGAAAACATGCGAAAGCTTTTGAACGAATGCGACTAACTAATTTCGCTCCTGCGACTCCAAAAGCCACAAACTGTAAACAAACATGAAAAAACTCATTGATATAGTTGTGAAATAATATAGTTACTTGAAAAAAATGAAAAATCATAAAAACAACACCGGTAAGAATTAATAAACCACTTGTAATCAACACTCGACGATGTATGTCAGTGTATTTACAATCATTAAATTCCTAAATAAAAGAAAAATTCGACAGAAAAAAACACATCTTTTATCTTTTGTTAGAATATTCATACGAAATGAAATTACTCACATTGATTATTTTTGCTAATATAATAGAGAAGACTGGTCCACGTAATCCACCAAGTATGCATACTAAACAACCAATCAAGATAAATTTCCATTCAGGACTATTCATCTTCAAGAGTCTTAGAAAGACATATTTTCCTCTTGTTGATATGGAAGCTCTCTAACAATTTATATATTAATAATGATTTTTTAAAGTTATTAGATATTTATTTTTACTCGATTTATATCAATTGCTTCATTCTCACCCAATAGACGAACACTTCCCACTATTCCGAAAAACAAAATTAAGTTCATAAAATATAAGAATTATTAATATTAGAATGGTAACATACATAATTGTTCTTCATCTTCAGCTGCTGCTTTTTCCATTTGCATCAGACTCTCTTGTCTATGAAACGTATTTTCAGATTGTTGCATTTTAACCATTGTTTGATATTTTCCTCCTTCTTTTGCCAATAATGTTTCATGTGTACCTTCATCAATTACACTTCCTTTATCTAATACATAGATATAATCAGCATTTTGAATCGTAGTCAAACGATGAGCAATAACTATAGTTGTACGATCTATAACAATAATAATAATATAACCAATAGGAGTTAAATAATTCTTACTTTTGCATGCTCGATCAAGTGCCTCTTGAACAATTTTTTCACTAACATTATCAAGTGCACTCGTTGCTTCATCTAACAAAAGAATGTTGGGTTGTTTAACAAGGGCACGAGCTAATGCAATACGTTGTTTTTCCCCACCACTCAATTGTATACCACGTTCACCAACAAGTGTTTCGTATTTCTGCAAACAAAAATATTAACATGTACATATAGATAAAGACAAACCTTTGGTAATTTCATAATGAATTTATGTGCATTAGCTTGTTCTGCTGCTTGTTCAATCTCTGCACGTGTTGCATTCAATTTACCATAACGAATATTTTCATAAATATTTATTCCAAATAAAATCTATTTTAATATAGATATCATTTAATAGGGACTAAAAAAGAAAATAAAAGAAACCTACAGGCTCTTGACTGACAACTCCAATATTTTGTCGAAATTGTTTGATTTTATAATTTGTAATTGATTGACCATCAATCATGATTCTGCCTGAAGAAGGTTCATAGTAACGAAGAAGAAGTGATACACATGTACTTTTTCCTATCACAATGAATTTCGGTATTAAAATGTTATGTTTGTTTTAGAAAAAAATATTAACCACAACCACTTGAACCCACAAGAGCAGTTGTTTGTTTAGCACGAGCAATGAATTTAAGATTATTTAAAGCTGTTGTACTCTCTCTAGATGGATAAGAAAAACTAACATTGTCAAATTCAATATCACCATTGATATTAGAAATAGATTTTTCATCAGATATGTTCTCTTGCAATATTTCTCTTTCGTTGATGTTTTCATTGTGTGCCTATATCATAAAATAAAATAGAAACTATTATTACTAAAATTTAATATCTCGTATCCAATATATATCACCTCATCAATAAGTCGAAATACGGATACTGCTGCACCTTGAGCTTCCGCAATTGATTGGAAGAAAGGACCAATTGCATTAAGAAGACCTAAAGCTTGTGCAAACATATTTACAACCTAAACAAAAGTTCGTTTTTTAGTTACTCTCTTGCATATTGATGTTATAGCTGACTTACAACAAGAATATCACTAATGGTCAGTGTTCGATGATTTCCATAAGCCATAAGAATAGAACCAGAAGTGAAACCAATTGAATAGACTAAAAAATTTATAAAAAATAACAAACCAGAATAAGCACCAAACGCTGCATCTTTACGAACAGTACACCATTCATTTAATTTTAGTTCTTTATCATATCTAGATAAAGATAAATAATACAATAATCTATAATTCTTTATTTATTTACTGTTTTTGTTGGTATTTACTTCCATTGAATGAAAGAACAGTTCTTAATGAACCAAATACTTCCTGAGCGATTTGTCCAGCTTTTGAATATGTATTTAATTGTTCTTTTGTTTCTTTAGTAATAACCTGTAATTATTAATAAAAATTTTAATGAATTAAACAATACTTTATACCTTAGCAAATATCATTGAACTACCAACAACAACTGGAATTATACAAGACATGATTAAAGATAATTGCCAATTGATAATAAAAGATATGATTATACTGAAACTCATGGTTAGAATAAGTTCAATTACTACTATCAATTCCAGACCTATTCCGATTTTAATCTTTTCAATATTACTGTAAAGGAAATTGATCATATAAAATTGTTTTGTTATAAAATTATAATATTTACTTACGTAAAAAGCTTTGAATTGTATTGAGTAGTTTGGTTTATATCCAAATATGTCATGTTCTAAAAAGAATGAAAGAGAAGGAACAAGATTATTTTATCTTAAATTATAATTTAACAACTAAATAAATTTTATGTTATTTTCTAATTAATTCATTAAAACTATTTCGAAATTGTATTAATAATAAAATTCTCTGTTTATTTTTTACGGTAAATTTACCTTGAACATGATCTTTGAGATTCATTCATATTATCATCCTTGTTTCTTATCTATTTTCTATTGATGTACAAACGATGTTTTTAGAATGATTACTTTCCTGATTAGAGAAATATCTTGAAAAAAGAAAATAAGAAATCGAGACGAAAATTATCTACTTTATTTTGTTTTATGTTTGACTTGGACCAACAGAAATAAAATCGAATAAACTGTATTTCAACTAATTTCATCGTTAGTAATCAATTATTTTAGTTACTCTTCAATGAATAACAGTCTTTGAAGAAATAAGAACACTTGCTTGACTATATAATACAAAATATTTACAATGTAGATCTGCACTGAAGTAAAGTCATATCTAGTAGAAATTTGATACTATTCAATTTTGACTTACAATCACGAATTATAAAGTATTTTTATGTGTAAAAGAATGTTTTTACGTACACGTTGAATAAGTGATCGAAAGAGTAAAACACTCATTCGAGATGTTTGCCGTTTCGCAGCTATTGTCCAACAAAAATATTCGAGAACAATACATAGAAATGTAAGAATACTGAAACCTACACTGGCACAGAAAAAAACAAATCGTTTCTTTTTTTAAAATTTCAGTCATTATATTCAAAAGACTTACTGCAGAACAAATAAACTAAATTCATAACATTTTCTCGAAATAAAGGTGTTAATGGAGGTAATGTGGATGACATAGTTTTATTATGATAATGGCATAGTCTACAACGGAGAAATTTCAAAAGATTCAAAATAAGAATATTTTTTCAGTAAATTACTTATGTAATCGATCATAATTTAATGGATTAAGATCAATACCGAAAAGACATATACTATTATTGATAGTTGTAGATACTGAATTTTGATATTGATTATCACAATCAACAGTAAATGATGTAGTGGCAAATAAACCCGTGATTCGACCAAAAAGAATTGCATTCGCGAGAGTACAAACTACATTCCCCAACATAAAACACAGAGCAGTTATTAGAAGAACAAGATCAACACGATCAGCAAATCGAAACTATGATAAAATAAAATCATTTAATTCATATATATGTATATATATATTATTATTTAAGAGAAAAATAGCATGATTTCAACTTAGTATTTTCATAAATTTCTCTTATGAAATCTAATGTTTGAGTATACTTACCAATTGTAAAAGACTGACTTGAATTTCTACAGTAGTCTGTTTGATCTCATCATCTATGTTTTTATTCTTAGCATCAGTCTTTTGCCGACTGAAATATTGATGCCAGTCAGAAACACTATGAATAATGATGAGTTTAGTATATTGTTATTAATATTTTATATTTTTTAAATCTTACCTTTTGTTTTCATTGTCGCTATCATTATCAATAGGTAATTTGTTATTTGTCTTTAATAGTGGCTCTTCATTCATGTTCGTCTTTTTCTTTTCAAATATACACTATTATGAAACTCGACGTCTATATACGCTTATATGTATAACTATGATGAATGATTTGATCATCTTCGCTTCAGTGACTTTTCGTCCTTCAACTATTGTATCTGTTTTCTTTCATATTGTCAAAAAAAAGGTAGACAGTCTTTTGTTAAGGGCCCTCCCCAGAGTTATAAAAAATATTTTCTCATCAAAAATATCGATTTTGTGATTCATCCATATTTAGATAGTCCATCATCTACGCTTTCAAATGGACCATATCTTATTGGTTTTACGATGATTTTTAAGCGTTCTACAATGAGTTTTTTAGAAAATCTTTCTACAATTTCTTTTTCGAAAACTTCAATTATTGATCGTATTTGAATTTTTCCCTTTACCGCTTATTAAACAAAAAAATATGTAATTTTCGAAGTAAAAACTTGTTTTGCGTTTATCTCGAAACAATTTTTTTATGTTTTATTTGTCTGTATTTCCAAGATTTCTCCACCATTTTGAATGATAGAAAGCTCGGGAAGGTTTTAAAATGAAGCTAAAGCTCAGTGCTAAAGCATAGCAAAGTCATTATTTTTATTTTTATTTTAGTTCTTTATGAAAAAATCAAGTTTTCTAAAGAGTCAACCTCAAGTTTTTCCAAAAAAGCTTTTTCAAGGAAGAATTTTGTATTTTTCAAAAAATCCGCTTTGCTATGCTCTAGCACTGAGCTTTAGCTTCATTTTAAAACCTTCCCGAGCTTTCTATCATTCAAAAATGGTGCAGAAATCTTGGAACTACGAAGACCTAATTTTCACTCTTAATATCAGGATAACACAATATTATGAAGTAAATTTTTTACTGAAGATTATCCAAGACCAGATACATATTCAGTAAAAATTTTACTAAAGTTGAGTGCTCTGGAAAATAAATTTTTTTTGATCCGGGGGGGCCCTTAGAAGCAAAAATTTTAGATATTTTTTTTATAAATGTGAATATTATTAATACTTTCTTCTTTCCTGTCGCGTAGGAGTAATATAGTATTAGTAAAGACTCAGAGACAGTAAATTAAACAATTGGTATACTTTAAAAATAAATAAAAATACTGTATGTAATAAATCTTTCAAATCTAATTTTAAAGCATTTATAGACAAAAAAAACAATAAATTATTGATTGCTTTTAATCTCTAGACACCCATGAAGCTTTAAGTTAGAATTTTATTAAAGGTATATAAATAGTAAAATAAATTAAAGAGGTATGAGAAGTCAAAATCATCAGTCCGGTTCGAAAATAAATTTCATATGTATATTTACAAGTAACGTTCATTGAAACTCGTTTCACTTTGCCCCCAGACTGTCGTGGTCTCTGTTCATATATGACTGTATTTAAATATCAATGACACAGTTAATCGATATTAGTTTCGACTTTCATCAGAAAGTTAAACTAATTTTTTACTTTTGATAAAATCAAACATTTTCTAAAAGTTTGAAAATAAATACTTCAGCTTTTTTAAAGTCAACGTTATAAAAAAAGTGGAATTTCAAAAAATAAAATTACAGTATGGATGTCTCTATCATTGTACATCAAAATTGATTTTGAACTTTTGTATTTAGATGCACTATAATTAGACAATTGAACGAACAAGTTTTTTATTAAAAATATTTTACAATAAAGGAACTACTAAAATCTTAAAATTATCAAATTAAGATGCATACTTTTTAAAACGTTTAATACTGGGCTTTACTTTTCTGAGTTGCCGGACAAGATGTTTGAACACATGGTCGTTCTTTTCATATATGCATTAAAAATATATGTTAATGACGATGATGGTGATGAACGACATCCTATATAAATATACATGGATTTTTTCCAAACTTTTATAGTATTCTGTGTGTACGAACGTTTTGTCTTTTGTTTTTAATAGTATTTTCATCTTCCTCCATATTAAGAGTAAAATTGACGTTACTTTATTATTTAGATTTATTCAATAAAATAATGGTATATATATATATTATTAGGAAATGTTTTCAAATATTTAAGTTAGCACCATTTTGAGATAAATCAATAAAATATTATGCTATTCAAATAATACGATATTAGTTAAGAAAAATTATACAATATCGAAAATAATCTGCAACTATTAGTAAGTATATATTCAAACCAAGTTTCATGCATAAATTAGTAGCCAGTCCATTGTAAAATAAATATCTTTATAAAAATACTAATTAATCCTCACAATGGTTTAAAATATTTATTTATGCAACTTTAAAATAATCAGCAGTATTAAAGCGATTTGTTCATTTTGTACCATGTTATCGACAAAAACAATACGTCATGGATATAGATCAATTCTTGTTTCTCGATCGTATCCTTATAGTCTAGGAAAAAAATATATGATAATTATTGACATGATCATTTACAACTATTAGAAATCTATTCGAATCAAACTGCAATATGTTTAACTGAATCATTTATATATTTGTCAATTATGAATTCTACAGTTATCTGACCGTGTCAACTAATTTCTTCAATATTGTAAATAAGTTCTTGATAATATTTTCTTAATTTAACGTTATGGTAGAAGTAAATTTTAATGTAGTAGACATTAATAATACATAAATAGATTATAAATTCACACTGGAGAATACAATCGAATATAGAAGTGGTAACTATTGTAATAAATTAATTGTTGACATAGCACGTTACTTTAAAATTAAAAAAAGAATAAAATCTAATAATTATGTTTGTTTTTTCTATATGATTTATGCAACTAATATATATCTACATATAGAACAATGCAGTCATGCATTTAGTAAAAGCATATATTACGCATATGCATCACCATTTTAATGCAAAGCTTTTAACTTTAAAAGAGAAAAGAAAAAAATATATGAACATTTAATATCTCAACGTATTGATGATGTCCATAAGTTTTTGTTCAATGTGTTTTATTATTACACCTGAAGATACTTATGTAGTATATATTATTTGACTTTTTTTATTGTTAAAACAAATAATAAAAATAGTCGAATATTGTCAGAACGATATTATTTATTAATAAATACAAACAGATCTAAAAAAATGAGTAATATGTGTTACAAATGATAAGAAAAAATAAAACACTGAAGAATGACATGAGTTATGTTATTTCATTCTTCACATAGTTTTTATCATACAATCGGTTTGATATTCAACATATTGTACATATATGTGTATTTGTATATTTGAACTTTTCCTCTTTTTTTTTCTTTCTTACTTCTTTCTCAATCTATTATTAACAATGATAAGCGACACATCACACTTGAGATATGTTGAATATAACATAGATCAACATTCTCTTCGTTTTATCTTTATATAATATTAGGAAAAGAGTAAAGATATCAGATTAAATTCAGTAATAATTTGTACCTTTATTTATCTAAGATTAACCCTTGCAGAGCCAAATTTTAAATGACCTGTTTTTGTCAATATTTATTGTGTTGTCAGATAGATTCGGATGCAAATTATCATGCGCGAGCGTCACATAAATTATAATAGAATATTTCACGTATTGCATATCTATGTTTAGCAAGATGAGTAAGCTGCCGGAAATGTAAAAGTACAGTAATTTTTTTCGTTTATTTATACATGGTTCGATAGAGCTTGTCGAGCTGAGTAAGAATAGGTCAGTTTTTATATTTTTTCGAAAGGTTTTTGATATTTTTCCTAATTTGTTGTAGTTTTGTGGCCGAAAACAAATAAGTGGTACATATATGTACCACCGCCTATGAGAGGGTTAATATTAAAAAAAGTATATTACAATTAGTTTTAACTTACTTGTGTTTGATGTCATATTTTGAGTAAATGCTAAAGGATAATAGCAATAAGTTTAAATCCATTTATTCGTATGATCATTAGTAATAACGATGAAATCCATAAAGATTAATAACTTACTTGTCGTAGATATTAACGAAGCTAAAATGAAGTATATGTGCATATATAATCATTTCAAATTATAAAGAAAAATTTAGGATAATCATACTTGATTGCATTGTAGTAGAGGATATATCTACAAAACAAAATATAGAAAATTAGATTTTCATTAACTGATTAGTATATTTGGGGATAGAATTATATCGAACATTTCTTTTAGTTTCTGAAAAGAAAATACAATATTACCTTCGGTTGTTGAAAAGGAGGATGATGATGTTTTGTCATTTGAGCGTATGACTAATACAATTGGGAAAACAATACTTGCAACAAATAATAATATAATAACAGTAATTACAGGTATTTGAAATCGAAGACTTGATAAAATCGTACCAGAAGTAGATCTTCTAAAACTGAACTATTAGAAATGGAATAACATTAAGAAAAAAGTCAATTTATACCGAACAGTTGTGATTGTCGTATCTTCCTCTGAAAGAACATACACTTTACGCTTAAATGGCATTTTAGTAGAATTACTTTAAGAATTAATAATTGTTGCTCTTATATTTAGTTGACAATAATTAATGTGATTAACAAATATTTTCTTGCATTAGAATAATACTCTTTATAAATCCAACTAATCTAGATAATATTCACTTAGTATGTTATTGCTCAAGTGTCTCTTAAATATACAAAACAATTGATGTATTTTGACAGTGCATGTGATATAGAATTAATAAATGATAAGCTAGATTAAAATTAAAAACTCTCAAATCACGTGAAAGATTTGCATATACATAATCAGTATCGGTGCATATTCTTATCAAGAATCATGCAATTCTGTTGACACATAAGATATTGATAAGATGTTTGCAGAGAAATTGTTGATTTTCAATTCAACTGACGTTCTAGAAAGTGTAGTATAAAAACAATCTACCATTAGAAAATATTAGATGATATTCTGAATAATTCATCATTGTTATTCAGAGTTTACAATAAAAATTTGAAAGATACTTTTTCTTCATTACTAAAATATGAGAAGGCAAAATTTATCATAATGCAAAAAAGAAAAATTAATATTGATATATTTATTGGATAAGAAATATAAGTTAATACTTAGTAAGTACATAAACGAAAAAAGTACTTATTATTTGATCATTTCATACATTTACGAAAACACACGAGAAGGAAATATACACGCATTTCTATAATACAGATAAACTATAGATGATGATTAAATGATAGCCATACTGTTAAACAAAATTGTATGTTCTTATTTAATACTATAGGCAAATGTTATAGTTATGAGAAATTCCTACTTCGTTCATATATTATTCAAAGTATTGACTCCGACTCATCAAACGCTTGTCTTGGTTTTTACTTATAGAAAACTATTTTTGAATTTATTTGTTGTAAATGTAAAACAATTCTTGATCGCATATTTTTTAATTACTCACTTAGCTAATCTAATCTTTTTAATTGCTAAAGTTTGTAAAATTTCTCTATAATTCCTTAAAACGTTTTTGAGTGTGTAGTCCCAGCTAACTCCAACGTTTTGAAGCAAATTTTTGAATCCTTCAAAAGAACATTGAATTACCTTTGATTATAGAAAATGACGATGATAATGAACCATTTTTTAATAGCTATGACTGATACAATAATAATAATCACAAAAATATGGAATTCAGAAAATGATCGAAAACTTGATAGGCAGAAACATATAAAATGATTAATTCGGCTATACCAAACAATTATTTTTTCTTTATTTGTATTAGAAAAACTGTGAATTTCAGTTGTACAAAGCACTTTATGAGTACTATGTAGTTACAAACTAAGAAAAAGTGTTACATATAGTATTGTTTAGAAATAATTCAATAATACTTAATTTCATTAAAATAAATGAATACATTTCGTTAATTAGTAAGAAAATGATAGACAAATAAATAAATTATCTTTCCAATCCCATAATTGACCAATCAGTTAAACCTTTTTCTTGTAATGTTTTATATTCTGGAATATCTAATTTAGATATAACAGTCAAATCAACTTGATTTGATGCTAATGCTGCTGCACGTATCATAACTTTAATATCTTCATGTGTTAATTTTTCAATTTTTGTTTTTCCAACAAATAAAATAACATCATTTTCACGTAGACCAGCTCGATATGAAGATGTTGTTGAAATTTTAATACTAATCCATAACCATCATATTGTTTACTTTTACGTAAATGACATATTTTAGCTTTTAATGGTTCTTCTGTACTTGATTCATCAGGTTGAGTTAAATTAAATATTTCATAACGAGATGATTTAGTTGATTTACTTGCTGTTGATATTGATGATGTCATAGGTTCAAATGATGGTTGTCTTTTTAATTCAAATCGAAATATACGACGTTGATTAGGATCGGAATCATCATCATCACCTGATATTATTGGACGTTCTAAAGAAGAAAAAAAACGAAATAGATCAATTGATCTATTTTATTTAGATTAAAATACCTGGTTGTTTTTCTTCGATATCATGAATTGGTTCTTGAAGCAATACTAAATATTTTGGATCATTTGCTACTGTTAAAACAATTGGAGTCATTAATTGCATTAATTTTCGTACGTCTTCATGTTCAAAACTAGTAATATTAATTCCATTTATCTGTAATATACGATCTCCATTTTTAAGGCCAGCTAAACTTGGTTCAGAATCTGCTTGAATATTACTAATAAAATGTACTTGTGATGTTATATCAGCTTGTGGAATACACGAATTAAAATCAAGACCAATAGCTTCTGAAATAGTTACATGACGAGTCTCTTCTGGTTCAACTGCTAGTTTGGAATTTGGAGGTGGTGGAGCAGAATTTATTTTATCTTAATTAAAATAAAACTAGTACATAAAAAACAATCACAAATTATACTAACCATTATCATCATCGTCTGTTTGTTTTAAGGGCTGATTAGATCTAGTTGTATGCGTAGTCATTTTATTTGAATACATATATGCTTTACTAGCTTCGTATAAAAATTAATGGATACAGTTGAATGATCACACGTGTATTAAAGAATAGAGTATAACCTATTGCATTTATAATCTAAATACATCAATAATAGTATCAAGCCTTTATATTTGAGGATATATATATAAATATAATCAAACATTGTTCAATAATAATCATCGAGATAAACGTATTTGAAAGCATAATATCAAATAAATTTAATCAAAATAAACTCCATTATGAGTGTTTCACACAAATATAATAAATTGTATTATTGAATTAATAATTATTTCTATTAAATGAGAAAAATGTATATAAAACAAATCTTATTCAGAAGTTATTTTATTTGTTATTTATTTTATAATTATTAAGCATAGTATCGTTTTTCTTAAAATAGTGAGTGTACCGATGTTCTTTATCCATTAAAACTGGATCAAGTTCTTTTAAAACAGGGTGTGGGTGTATGATGAATATAATACTCATACTCATACTCACACTTTTTACATAATTAAAAATGACATTCAGAATATACACAAATATTATGTGTCGTAGTGATATCATTTATAGTTCTGCATTTTATAATCTATATCATACCCTAACTGATGCTTTCAATAGTGCAACAACGCACATTATTGTATTAGTTAATATACACATAAAGAAACATTCACTTTTTTCATATTATATCTAAAGAATATATGTCATTTCTATCATTTTGTCCAATAATACATGTTATTGATTTATTTAATTTCTTAAATTATCTTCTTGTTACTTTTAGATTAATGATTTTTTCAATCAATATGTATATAGTCATCTTAATCTTTCTCTAATATAGTATATATATAAATCTAACATGATCAAGCCTATTCTTATATATTCTGTTCTTAATATATTTTAAAATCTGTTTATGTTTAACACCTATACAAATATTAATTATATTATTTAAAATAACATTAAAATGATAAATTCTTATACAATTATCTATTTTCTATTTAATAAATAAAAATCAGTTTTATTCAAAGATATACTTAAATAAAATATTATTTTGAAATATATACATCATATTTCAGTTGCATTAATATTAAAGATAAATTTTAAGTCACAAGATTTTATATTTTTGTATTTTTCAATAAGTAAGGTTTTATTAATTATTATAGAAAAAGAAGATTATTTGATGCCATTAAGAGAAATTTATATTTAAACTTATTTATTTCATTCATCATTTGTTCATATCCAATATATATACATATAGAATTTTTGAAACGCGGATGTGGGTGTGGAACTAGATTTAGTGTAACACCCACACCGTCAGTGTGTCAATTTACCGTAAATTATCATACGAGACATTATTTTCTATGTACCTATAACAAAAATATTCTTTTTACAAAAAATCTAATGAATTTATTCAATATGAAACTATCAATTGTCTTGTTGACTAAATAAAAATAAATAAATAAATTCTAAGTTTTTATCATATTTTAAGTGCAATAATTAGATCTTAATGAGAAATGATAGTAGCGTCAAATAGATGAGAGATACAGGAAAAAAACTAATTAGTAGTTGGTAGCTTTATCTATTCATTTATTCGAATAAATAATTCAAGATAGATGTTAAGTACATTTCTTTAGATGGAACATAATGTTGAACTTATCACAGGTAGTATTATGGACAAATATCAAATCATTAATCAATAGTTATAACCGATTGAGAAATATAAAAATCAGATAAAAGATCATCCGTTATCTCTATGTTGAGAAAAATAAATACAAAGTCACTGATTGTTAAATATTTTCATTTGTTTTAAATATAGAGAAAAATGAATTAAATTAATCCTGTTAAGATCATCTGTAAATAACGTAGATTAGATCTCGTGAGGTCTGATAAATAAAAACTCTCATACATGAAGATACTTTTTCTAAATATAATATAATAAAAGTGAAATATCTTTATCAAAAGGCATTATTAATTATGATTTGATTATCAACTTTTGCAGTTGAAAACGAAGAATTGAGTTAAAGAAAAGAATCGAAATCTAGTATGACTGAAATATAAAAAAACAAGGAAATAAGTAGTTTTATGAGAAAATTCATATATCATGCATTTATCAAGTTGTATATCATCTTTAATATATATTATATCAGCGTACGAAAAATCATTTAAGTGTATCACAGTCGCATTTTCTAACATCGTGATTGATAAATACATGCAATTCCGTTTTTTATTTCATGATTATTAATGCTATTAATTATAAAACTACACTACTGCTTGCTTTTTGTTCAAATTAATTCTTTATTTTTAACTACAAAAATTGATAAAAATAATCATTCTAATAAGTAAATCATAATTAACATTGTGTTTTGATAAATATATTCCACTTTTATTATATTATATTTAGATGAAATATCTTCATATATGAGTTTTTATTTATTAGAACTCACAAGATCTAATTTACATTACTTTGTTAATAATTATTAAGATACATAGATCATTATGAAACATCTAAAAAACTATGACTCACTCTTCAACGGTTAATGATGAAGAAATTTTACAGCAAAAAGGACTTTTAATATACCTTGATCATTATCAGCATCATAGGATAATTGAGAAGTTTTTTCAACAGTGATTCTCTATCATATATTTCATTTAATTACAAATAGTATTAAAAATTCGTACGTTTATTGTGTATTAATATAGGTTTAATAGACGATAAATGGTTGAGTGAACATGTATTTTTTTTTGCTTTGCTTTAAAGGTAGTATAGAATAGAAGAAAAAAAATATAACTAAAATAAATCATTCGTACGTAGGAGGTTCGTTCGATCATATGCAAAATAATAAATTCATTTGTTAATATGATAAAACATATTCTCACATTTATTCTTTGTATGAAATGTGCGTAGAGAGTCAAAATACGAATGGATAAAATAAGAAAAAGCAAAAGAATCAATATATTTAAGAGTAAAAATGACTTTAATAAAAACTAAATAATTATATATATATTTATAATGAAAAAATTTCGAAAAAGAATAAAAACAAGTATTTTATCTTTTAATCGAAATTTTTTTAAATTTTATATTTTTCATAGAACTAAGATTATTAAGTCAATTAAAATAATTAATATTATAAACAAGTTTAGATATTTTTAGAGCTATTTAACATATTCTATTGATCGTTTAATGAGTATTTTCATTAAAATATATTTATAAATATGCATATATCAACATACTTAAACAAGATAAATTATTTTCTCTGATTATTGAAATTTATTACAGTTCTAATCGTCTAATATATTTAATATTAAATAAAAAAATGATATTAATAATCATATAAAAAAAAGCAAAATTGGAGTTATTTTGAGATTATCAAAATCTTTATTCGAATAATAGTTTAATTACTGAGTTAATCGAGAATACACACCCACACCCCACACCCACGCAACCATTCTTTTTCTGGTTGTTTTGAATTTTCTTCATGAGACAAATCTACAATCATGATATTTCGTCATCAATTTCATGTAATTATACTATGAGGACAAATATATATGCACTCTATTCTACAGAATAGATAAAACGTGGATTACAATTATTTCGCCAATACACTTATTTTTTTGTTGTTGATTTGAGTTTCGTTAATGAAACGAATGCCGTATTATAATAACTTGTCAACAATAATAGGTAATTATACTATGAAGGCAAATATATATGCACTCTACTCTATAGAATAGATAAAACGTCGATTACCTTTATATCGCCAATACACTCATTTTTTTTTATTCTTTCGAGTTTCGTTAATGAAACTAATCCCGTATTATAATATCTCATCTTCAATAATAGGTAATTATATTGTGAAGATAAATATAAATCCATTTTTCTGTATTCCGTAGATGAAACATTGCTTGGCTCTATTTCACAAACGCGTTCGTTTTTCTAATGTTGCAGTGAAAATTATTGAAGTTGGTGCAAATGAGTACAATCTCGATGTTTCGACTGATTTTAATAGCCAAGAACTGGAGTAAGTTCACCATCTACTGCTGCAAATTGAAGAATTATGTGTTGTTCGCTCAGAATAAAAATATAATGGATTTAAGTACAACGAAATACAAATAAAATCAAATTTTAATTATAAAGTGATAATCGTAGATGGGGAGGTCAATGCGTGCAATTTTGATGTTTTGACTGATTTTCATAGTCATTAATTGAAGTAAGTTCACCATCTAAGGGTGAAACTTGAAGAATTATATGTTTTGTTCAGTATCAATAATTACCCAATAGCTTTAGCATCACAAAAAAAAGAAAATAAAATTTTAATTATACAGTGATAATTGTAGATGGTGAGATCAATGCGTGCAGTTTCGACGTTTGGATTAATTTTAATAGTTAATAACTGGAGTAACTTCACCGTCTACTGCTGCAAATTGAAGAACCACCTCTATTGTTCAATAACAATAGCATTATGATGGATTTAATCCAAGAAAAATACAAATAAAACTTAATTTTATTTTTATGGTAACGATTATTGATATTAAGGTGAATGAGTACAATCTTTACGTTCTGACTAAATTTTATCGTCAATAACTGGAGTAAGCTCATCATCTCCTGCTGGAAATGATCATTTATCAACACCTGCTAATATTAGTGAACAATTAGAATTTTTTCGTCGATATAATCAACATTTCTGGCGACTTTGTTTTCTTTATAGTCCTTAATCTTAGAAAATATTATATATTTCAACAATATGAACAAATTATATTTTTCTCATCATATATTGGTTTAGCAACAAATTCTAATATAGTATCATGTGCTTGTCTTGGGAGTTCAAGAAATTATTATTCACTTATCCATGGTGAACAATTTTTTAAAAGTTCATCTTGTCTTAGTGAACAATCATCATTTGGTTGTTCATTATTTCGGCTTGATTCATATGTTTTACATTTACATTTTATATTTGAACATAAATATAATTGGACTAATTATGAACATGTTAATCGATTGCATGATGAATTAAATGATGAAAAATTTTTCTATCCATTTGATTTTTATGGACAACAAAAACAATCTAATGAACAACATCAAAATATAAATGATTTATCCATTACCACGTAGTGTACATAAAGATTTATATTCATTATTACGTGCTAATTCATTAAGAAATTTGAAACATAAATCAGTTATTGAATAAAATGAATATAAACGTTCATCATCATCATTAATATCATGAAATAATATAAATAGTCTTTTCATCACCATCACCACAAACACCAGGAAGTGATGATTATTTATCATCTAATCGACATTTATCATTAACAAGTGTAAGTCAAACAAGTTTAAATTTAACTTTAAATAATAGAAATAATATTATAGAATTTTCATCAATACCATTATTATAACTATGATGCAACAACAATCATCACCACTTACTCTTCTAACATTAAAAAGAAAAGAAAATAAACAAATAACATTATTTACTAGTTTAGCACAACTTACAACATCATCTCAAGTATGCCAACAATATTTTCATACTCGTCAAATTTTACCTATGAAAAGTCATGAAGAATCTTTTGATAATTTTCTGTTATATACACTTCATTTGGGTCCATGTTGGTATGAATCAAAAGATTCATCTATACAACGTCTAGCTAATCGTATATCTACTCATCCATTACTTGGTATTCGTCAATTCAATGATCAAACAAATGCAACATGGAAAAGTCTTATTAGTATTAATTTACCACAACATTCTTTCTTAAAAGATCATAAAATTCAAGATGCAATTCTTTTTCCAGCAGTTGCTTATCTTGAACTTGCAACAACTGCTTGTCATCAATTACTTTCATCAAAAGAAGATGATCAACAACAACCAACAATTATTTTTGAAGACGTTAATTTTATTAAAGCACTTATTCTTAATGAACATGAATTGATGGAAGTATTTACACAAATAATTATGCCAATGCGTGAATGGTATATTATATTTTGTAATCAAGATAATCTTAATAAATATTCATTAAATAAATTTACTTTACATGCTCAAGGTAAAATTGAAATAGATTCTAAACAACAAAAATCATTAACAATACCTAATATATGGACAACACAACATATACCAAGTGCTTATGAACATCTTCCAGCACGTGCTTATCCATATGCATCTAGTTTTGAAAAAATCAAAACATTACGTGGTACTTCAACTACAATTATATCTCAATTATCAAATCATAATAATAATTGTTCATCTTATTATTTACTTCATCCATACCTAGTTCTGTTACCAAGTATTGAAACAATATTTCTTCCTGTACATATTCAAAAACTTATTTATTCAAATAAAATAAAAACAAAAATGAATCAATCAACAAATGTTGAAGTACGTGGAAATTATCATGATAATATATGTGGTACAAGTCATGAAGAAATATAGAATCTTGATTTATGGATATTTTCAATGGATAATAAAATAGAAGAACCGATATTTACATTTGAAAGTATTGTTATTCAGCAGATTCAAGGTGTACAATCTGGTCGATGGTCAATAGAAAAAACAATTTATGATAAATTAAATATACAAACTGATTTACCTAATGCTGATCATAAACCCTATTTAGATACAATTATGAAAGATTATTGTATGAAAAGAGTATGGACTGATTCACCAATAATAAAAGATATATCATATTTACTTCCATCACCTAATCAAATTCTTAATAACGAACTTAATTCTATTAGTAGTCAAGATTTAATTGAATCAATAGAACCATTTAATGAAATAGCTGCTTATTATTCTCAAATGGTAATTAAAGATTTTAATTTAAATCATATACATCATCGTTTATTAAATGCATGTCGTTCTCTTGCTTCAACTTTACATGACAGAGTAGCATGGCATTCAACACATCTTCGTCTTATTCAATTAATTGAGCGTTTTCCTCGTTTAAAACTATTTTTAATCATATGAAATAAATATGGTTTACATTTAAAAGATATTCTTAGT